CGAGGAATCACCTCTTTAGGAATCACCTTGATGGTGTCAACATATCATTTCATGCCTGTGTGTTGTGTTATTGTTGTCATTGTTTTAATTTCAACTAAAGAAACATGATAAATTTATGTGTTTTAAGCTTTTTGCTTTGTGTAGACAAAACACTGGTTCATCGTGGTTTTTATGCTTGAATGATTCATAGATCAATGTTGAGTGGCTGAAAAAAAGAAGAAAATCTTCAGAAAGTCCAGAGTAACAGAAAGTATTGCTCACGATCAGTCCAACAAAATACTTGAAATTGCACGATAATTGCTGTCTCTCTCTTTTGTTCCATGGGATGTTAAGTCAACCTGAAACTTATGCAAGCCAAACTCCATCTGGTATGAAGAAGCGAAGAGAGGATATGTTATAAGTATGAAGGTGAAGCCCTAGTGGCTCTACAACATTGATTTTCTGTCTCACATCTCCTGAAGAGTCACATAGCAACAGAGACCTCTGAATCTGTAATCAGATCCAATCAATGGTGCTCCTGTCCTGGGCCACACACATGTGAACCACCATATAAGTAAATTAACCTGCACACACAAAGCATAACATCTATTCTACCATAATACGACACGCTGACGTTAGATATACAGAAGACAAATGAATGAGGAAAGTCCAAACAAACTGATACAATAGTCAGCTACAATTTTCACCTCCACCCTGACAGGGACAGAAAGATGGGGATAGTGAATTGGAAAGGTGGAATGGCACCCAAGGGAGCAATGGAACATTCACACTGGTGCTCATCCATCTCCAGGACATGAGCAAGCTGGCTGCCTGTAGCATGCCAAACAGAGGACGCCTTATAGAGAATTCAACATGAGCTGTAGGCCAGCCTCGTATATGTGTGGCAGACGTCCTTTTGTACACACATACTAACACACACAGCTGCTTCTTAAACTCCTTGATCTTACATTGCACACCAATGGTGACCCCAGCGATCTAACTGGAATGGGTCTGATGCTGGTGGAGCCACATTTCTCTAGCTGGCCATTGTCACATGAAGACAAAGTTACACTGTTTTGGTAACGGCCAGACTTTCCTGTTGACAAATGTTCAAGCTTCTCTTCACCGCCTTACTAAGGCACACTACATTCTAATCATGCCCTCACCTTACACATCAGCTTAAAAACACTGATTTGAAACCTAGATTAGACAATAAGCAACCTTAAAATTAGGCTACAGCTTTTGTTTTGTTAGCTTGCTAAAATGGCACTATTATATCTAGCACCACTGCTCTAAATTGTGAGTAAAATTAACAAAAAACTTAAAACCGCCATGCTTTTATTTTAATATTATTTATTTCATTTATAAATTCACCATCATTAAGTAAAATCCAACTGAAATATATAAAATAAAATGTTTATTTATTCAAATAATGAATCATTAAGGAAAATGGGCTAGGTGTAAACTAGCTGTAGATCAATCAATTGCCTTTCATTTGACCAGATTCCATTAAATTAAACATTTTGCATTATGCTTAGTTAAGAAACAAAATTAAGGATTTGTTTTTTAAGGAGTTTATTTCAAATCAAAACCTATAAAATGCAACCACAAAGTTGAAACATTTACAGATAGCAAAGCATTTTAAGACTGGTTTAAACAAAGATGCCATGGCAGTTACAGCATCTTGTTTACTCAAGCCCAGAATTTGCATTGTAATTCGCATAAAAAGTCAGCAAATGATAATGCACGACGCTTTCAGAGCATGCTCAGTTTGTTGCTTTTGTTTGTTGCCTTTCTTAATGTTGTAACACCAGCTGCAATGAGATTCAACAGCTCTTGCTCTAGTCACAGTTCTTTCTTTTGCCTCTTCCCATCTTTCCTTGTATGATACTGAAAAAGTGTGACAGGGAGCAAGGTCTGAAAAATCTCTTCCCCTGTGGGTCTTAAGTAAGTAAGTAAGTAAGTAAAATTTTATTTATATAGCACATTTCTAGATAAAAGATCACAAAGTGCTTCACAAGGTATAAAACAAAAACAGTCAAAAGTTGACAAAATGCAATTTTAAAAAGATGTGTTTTAAGCTGTTTTTTAAAAGTAATCACTGAGTCTGCAGATCTTAAGTTCTGAGGAAGAGAATTCCACAGTCTGGCGGCCACATTAGCTTTTGCTACTGTGGCCGCCAGACTGTCTTATTAGTGAGTGTTTAAAAAGAGCGAGCTGTCCACTGCAAGTGTGGTGATTCAAGTCTGTCTCTATTTTTCTTTCATAACGGAGAGAATAATTTGGGATTCTTATGGGATAGGAAAATATTGCAAAGCTAAATGCCTGTTCATATTTGATGCTCTTCATACACAGAATGGCTGAGCAGAGGGAGTGATCTGATAAGTACAATGTTGAAAACTTTTACAGCTCTTGACATGCACAAAAGCTTTGTCAATGCGTGCTGGCTTTTATTCTGTTTTATGTTTCAGAAATAAATTGTCTATCACTTCACAATAGCATTTTCCCACTATTGGACACAAAATGACAACATCGTCATGCTCAGTGTCAAGAAAAATACACAATTTAATGCTGTCTTCTTGCCCACTGCCAGCAGAACTGTACATGATGTGAAACACAACTGACAAGTGAGGCCAATCAGTGGTTTGGAGACAAAAACAAAACAAAAAAAATCCATTATATCCTATTGCAGATTTGATCCCTGTCAGCATGTCCGAGGCTCTTCTTGATGCAATGTTGTGTTGAAAATGATTTAATTGGACTCAATTAGTCAGCTCAAAAACTCACTGATCATAATGCTAATTGGCCTGCGGAGCAGGGTGAAAGATCGGCATCCTGCAACGATGGCATGTGTTACTTTGTTGTAAGCACTGACAAACCTCTGAAGAGAGCGAAATTGATACATTGACGAGTGAAAGTCAAGAAGGAGAGCTGTGGTTAATGGCAGCCGCAGGTCCTCCTTCGTTTCTCCTCTGCCTCACCCAACTGCCCATTTTTGAAAAGCTATTTCCAGCGCTTTCCTTCTTCCTTTGCTCATCACTGTAATCCCCTTGCTGAAAAGGTAAGACAATCTGGGGGTGGTGGTTGGGGGTACTGTCACTGCCACCCTAGTATTGCACAATCAGCTTGAATTCAGAGAACATCTGAGGAGAAAAGGCAGGTACGAATCTTAAAGCTCAGTTTGCAGTCTGTGACGTGACTGTTCTTCGTCTCTGATTGTGTGAATTAGTGTTAGATCTACTCTTTACTATGCAGTAAAGATTTCTGCATGCATGTGTGCAGTGTGTGTGTGCAAGGATGTTTAAGTGTGTTCTGGCAAAGCCAGTCAGACAGAAGCGCTGATGTGTGCCATAGTTTAAAATAGCCCCGCCAGACAGACAGCTGAGCAGCTGTGACCTCAGGTCCCCTGCCCTGAACTTTCAGTTGCACTCAGTGACCACACTGTTTCTTTCAACGTGCGTAAATACGCAATGAATCATCTATAGTCTTTATCAAAACTGCTTAATGAATAAAAGGAGTGAAATAAAAGTTCCAAGCAATTATCAGACTAACTCTATTTTAGTTTCAGACTCATATTTTAGAGTCTTTCATGGCTTTGTTCATCCAATGGCAGGCTTTGGTTTTGTCAGGCAGGAACAATCCATCCCAATTAAAGCTTGGGCAAAGAGAAGGCACGCTATGCACAGACAGACTGGGCACCCTCCTCTCTCTCCTCTGCAGCCAAGCAGACACTCAGTTTTATAGCAACAAGCATGAAATAGACTCCAAGGATCAAATACAGCGTGCGTGCAGTTGGAAGTGTGCATTTGCGAGACAGGGTGTGTGAATGAGATCATTGGTGTGTGTGTGCGTGTGTGCGTGACAGATGATTTTTGTGCACGTTGTGTGCTTTAGTAAGGAAAGTGCTATTAGTTATATGTTCCTGGGCTGATGGCTAAAACAGTGGGAGGTGCGGTAAGGCTTGAAGCGCTGCTGTCACCTGATGCATTGCCATTTTGCATTTTTTTAAAATAACTAAAGATCATTGTTACACTGGAGACCAGTTATACCATCAATTCTAAATCCTTCTGACACTATGTAATTATTCTGGCTACATGCAGTGATGCTAAAATAACTCCCAAAACAGCCTCAGCCTGACATACAGTTGATTTAAACCATAGCCTCACGCTATCTCGTTGGCGATTACCGTACTCTCAGCGTCATAGCACAAAAGAAACATGGGCTTCTGCACTCCTTGTGCGTGCTTTGTGTTTGACTAAAAATGATATCAAGACTTCAGGGACAAATTAAGGGTAATTAAACTCGACGAGTAGGCAAAGTTCCCCCTCAGGAGTGGTCAACAGGTCAGTCTCACATGAGTGCAGTGAGCTGACGTCCTCCCTGTCATCATGACTGACGGTGCCAAACTTATTCATGTCTTCTGCACACCGCCTTTGCCTCTATTCCTGGCACAAACACAGACTGATATGTTTAGCAAAAGGCTTCCTAGATGCAAATAGAGAAGGTCAGACTGAGACAGCTTGCCCTGCCCATGCCCTCATAATTCAATCCTTGTCACTGCTGACCAGCTGCAAGCATGAACACACACTTTATCCTAAAAGCTAAGCCCTCCTGGCTCTAGCTGGTGCACCGAGATGATAGCTAGATGATATGGGTCAAACCATTGGAAAACAAATTACATCAACCTTTTACAGGTTCAGAAAGTATCTAAAGTATTGTAACCACCCCCCAAGTTTAAAATTTGTTTTTAAGGAACCAGGGCAACAGAAGTTGAGGCAATACAAAAAAATAAAGCTCCTGATCATACACACTGGCCTTTGTATTTATAATGCAAATTGGGTTGAAGATGGATGTAGGTATGCTGAAAAGTGCATAGGACCAACAACAGGAAAGTCGGGGAAATGACCCAAGAGTATTAAATAAAAACACCTGTGTCGATGTGTAATGTGTGTTAGTCTCTAGTAGGAAGATCTGCTTTGTTCGTGACTGGTATTCTTTAAGGACAGGCTAGAGAAGCAAACGAAAGAGCAGAGCACTTTTAATAGAGCTCAACAACACTATATCATTCCCATACAAAAGAGACGAAATGAGACAAAAAACAAATGACACGTGATGCAAAATATGTACATTTATACACATGCGAGGGTATATGACTGTAAGGAACCAGTGAGTGCAAAGAACATTGGCCTGGAACAGAACATACAAGTAGGAAAACAACCAAATAAGATTACCTGACCCAAAATGTGAAACGTTTGAACTGTTGTAACCCACATAGGTGTGGTCATCTTTACTGTCCATTAACTACAATACTTTTATTGTATGTATGGCATGCCAGCACAATATAGACCTATTGAGTTTAGACACTGTGTCTGTGTAGCTTTTACATATGGCGTAGTCAGCATTTATACTGCATCTTCTTAACAGGGACCATTCATCATCCTCATTTACTGGTAATCTGCAGTGCTAGTACCAGTGGATAAAACCAATCTACACAAGAAGGAAAAGATGTATAAAGAGCAAGCCACGTTACTTAGTTTTGGGAGTTTTTTGACACATTTTTCTTTTGCTCTCTTGTCATGCATGACCTTTGGAAACATCAATACTTCAACTTCATCAATAGTTTGAGACTCTCGGTTTGTTTTTGCTTTTGTATGTATATTTTAAGAAAAAAAAATGACAAAAGCAAAAGAAGATGGGCTCACAGGCTACTGCTGTAATGAATCAAGCACAAGTTGCCCATAACTTTGTAAAAAAAATGATTTTGTTAAATTAGAATTAAAGCAGTCATGTTTGCTCCTGTTTTCAAATTCCTATTATTTACCACCCCAATTCCAAAAAAAAGTTGTGACACTGTGTCGAATGTAAATAAAAACAGCATCCTATGATTTATGAAAATTAATGGATTTTTGTAAATCAACATATCTCATAAAGATATATTTTTCTTACAGTAGAACACAGAAAAACATTAGGTCAAGTTCAAGTTGATGGCAAGCAACATTTGTCAAAAATCTTGGGACACAAAAGGCTAGATAAGTAATTGCTACTAAAAAATAGCTGAAGGAAAATGTCACAGCTAAGTAGGTTAATTGGCATGAGGTCAGTAATATAATTGAGTGTACAAAGACCATCACAGTGTGGCAGAGTTTCACTATTTCACCATAAAATTGTAAAGACTTTGGATATCATACCATCCGCAGTGTGTAATATCAGGAAAAGAGAATCTGGAGAAATCTCTGTGCGCAAGGGAGAAATGCCAAAAAAAAATCACTGCTGGATTCCTGTGCTCTTCAGGTCATCAGGCAGCACTGCATTAATAACGGACATGATTCTGACATAAAAATAACAGCATGGGCTCACTAAAACTTCCACGAATCACTGTCTGTGGACACAAATACAGGTTAAAGCTCCATCAAGCCAAAAAGAAGTGATCCAGGAACATCACTTCTTTTTCTGGGCCTAATTTGACTTAAAATGGGAGAAATGGAAAACTGTTCTGGTCAGACAAATTAAAATTGAAAATTCTTTTCAGGAAATATGGATGCCACGTCCTCTGGACTCAAGAGGAAAAGTGTTGGTTTGTTATCAGCACTGAGTTCAAAGGTCTGCATTTTTGATAGCATGGAACTGGTGGCTTGTACATTTGGTGTCCTGCAACCAGCCTCCTCAGTTCCTAGACATTTACAGATTGGTGATTGCTACACAGTGGTAAACAGGACCCTGTCCCAACTTTTTTGAGAGATCTTCCTGCCATCAAAGAAAAGTATATATACCATTTTACTGGGTTCTATGGTGAATCGAATAAGGGTTTATGAGATTAGCAAATCATTCTGTTTTCAGTTATAGTTTACAAATTGTCCCAAATTTCTGAAATTAGGGTTATAGAAAGGCAAACCTTGATGTCATGTCACCAATGAGAAATGGTGGGAAAGACTTTGATAGCTCTGTAGGTTATACATGTATTAAAGTGTAATTCAATGAGTAGATACACAAACATGGATGCACAATAGACATGATCAAAATCAACAATGTACAGACTTTGTTCAAATGTCCAAAACCGTCCATTTATGTCATAGGTTTAAGGAGGAAAATTATGCATATTTCTGCATCATTCTTGATAATGCATTTTTAAAAATTTTTTGCACCCTTTCTTATTTTGTACTGAGCGACAAGCACAGCCCATTCACAGCTAACTCAAAAGAACAAAAAAAAAGAAAAGAAAAAATACGAAAACTCTATTCAGCTCAGTCAGTTAAGAGCTTTTTTTTCCCCAATCAGAACCTCATAAACTCTACCAAATCTGTCCACCTATGTACACTTACATACTATACACACCTAGTTTATCTGCACAATTCAGCCATGCATGTGTGCCTGTGCTGTACCTGTGTACTTGTTACATTCTTATCACTGCCAAGGCACGCAGTCATTAGAGAATATCAAATCTGCTGTATGAGGCCACATACCTGGGATTGATCTAGCAGTCAATGCATTCCTTAATCCCCAAATATGAATGAGTTGAGTTTTCAAATGAGACGCAGTGCTGTGACGAGGTTTTTAGCATCAAAGGGTAAGTAAACACCAGCAGCAGAAAAAGAACAAAGCGTTTTTGGCAGGTGTTTGTAAGTAAAATCAGAATGATGGCCTTTCATTTTGGATCACAAAGGTGTGTTTGTTTAAGTGAAACAAGGACGTGCATGTTTGCATACACACGTCCAGCCTCGTAGCCTTGTAGATAAGCGTGCATAATATCAGCTTGTCCAAACACCCACAATTGTGATGCTGCAGGACACCAGTCTGCATCTGCCCTGTTCTCCTTTGTATCTATGTAGGTTGAGGATAGCAGTAAGGATTATATCTGTGATATGTATATGAGTTTTTCTGTGCATGTAGGTTCCTAAAGGGACAGAGGTGAAGGTTGATCCGCAGCCTGTGCTGGCATCAGAACAGGATCCACTGCAGGCAAAGTCCAGCAAAAAGCAGTGCAAGGCTGCAGCACTGTGTCCAGCTGGCAGATGAAGTACCCCCTATCATCTTCACTAAGGGGGGCTTAGAGGGGTTTTCTTGTGGGCTGTCACCTTCAGGATGTTTCCCTAATGGTTTACCAGCACTGGATGGTTCGGGTACTGTGGGAGACGAAAACAGAGAGAGACAACGGGAAAGAGAAACAGGAAATAACAAGTTTAGCCTCCATTGAATTCAGGCATATGTGCTTAAATGTTCTTTGGGTTTGTATATTATATTCAATAATCACTTAGTCAAGATTCCCATTACTTCAACTCTAATACCTTTCAAAGACTAGTGGCAGTGGCTGTTTCAGTTCAAAGTGCCCATAATTTGCTTTCAAAAATGCTTTCTTTTTTATTTATTTAGTTTAATTTAGTTTTTTTTTGGCCAGTGCATTTATAATGCTGCTAAGTTGCTTAATAGCTAAAAGTATTTTTTTTAATTACACACATAAAATAAAAACTGAACATTTTAATCCTTGACTTGTGAGAGAGGTGCTCTTTCCAGAGGCGGAGGCCTGCTTGTAGCGCTCATCTTAATGATTTAGAAAGGGTTTTATTGCCAAATGTTGAGCGGGTTTACAACATTAGGAAATTGCTGCGGTGCTTCAGTGCAAACATACTGTTATAAATACTGTTATAAATTAAGCTTAAATAGACATGAAAATAAAAATGAGAATAAGAATTAAAAGTGCTAAGTAGATAGATAGATATATACATGATATATACATGAGTGCAGGTGGTGATCAGTGCCAAACATGGAATGATGCAGTGAACACAGCGTAGGGTCATGTGTTAGTGGTGGGAACAGTCATACGGTTATTGTTCATGTGTCCAACAGCAGAGGGGAAGAAACTGTTCTTATGGCGAGAGGTTCTGGTGCGAATGGACCGGAGCCTCCTGCCTGAGGGGAGCAGGTCAAACAGACTGTGTCCAGGGTGAGAAGGGTCAGCTGAGATCCGAGCTGCACGCCCCAGTGTCCTGGAGGTGTACAGGTCCTGCAGAGATGGGAGTCTGCAGCCAATCACCTTCTCAGCAGAGCGCACAACACGCTGCAGTCTCTGTTTGTCCCTGATAGTGGCTCCAGCGTACCACACGGTGATGGAGGAGGTGAGGATGGACTCGATGATTGCAGTGTAGAATTGCATCATCGTCCGTGTTGGCAGGTTGAATTTCTTCAGCTGCCTCAGGAAGTACATCCTCTGCTGGGCTTTCTTAATGACGGAGGTGATGGTGGGCTCCCACTTCAGGTCCTGGGTGATGGTGGTACCCAGGAAGCGGAATGAGTCCACAGAGGTGATGGGGGTGTCAGTCAGGATGATGGGGGGGAGTGGAGCTGTGTGCTTCCTGAAGTCCACAATAATCTCCACTGTCTTCTGGGCATTCAGCACCAGGTTGTTGTGGCTGCACCAGGACACCAAACGTTCAACCCCCCTCCTGTAGGCAGACTCATCCCCGTCCGAGATGAGTCCAATAACGGTGGTGTCATCTGCAAACTTGATTAGCTTGACAGACTGGTGGGTGGAGGTGCAGCAGTTAGTATACAGGGAGAAGAGCAGGGGAGAAAGAACAAAGCCCTGAGGGGAGCCGGTGCTGATGGTCCGGGAGTCCGAGACATTCTTTCCCAGCCTCACATGCTGTTTCCTGTCCGTCAGGAAGTCAGTGATCCACCGGCAGATGGGATCAGGCACATTCATCTGGGAAAGCTTGCCTCGGAGATGGTCTGGAAGGATGGTATTGAAGGCAGAGCTGAAGTCCACAAACAGGATCCTGGCATAGGTTCCTGGGGAGTCCAGATGCTGCAGGATGAAGTGTAGGGCCATGTTGATGGCGTCGTCTACAGACCTGTTGGCTCTGTATGCAAACTGCAGGGGGTCCAGGAGGGGGGCCGTGAGGGTCTTGAGGTAGGAGAGAACCAGGCGCTCAAAAGACTTCATGACCACAGATGTCAGAGCCACGGGTCTGTAGTCATTTAGTCCAGTGATCCTAGGTTTCTTGGGGACAGGGATTATGGTAGAGGACTTGAAGCAGGCAGGCACATGACATGCCTGCAGTGAGGAGTTGAAAATTAACTGAAAGATTTGATAATTTTGATTTGACAAGGTTGACAACAACATTATTTGTTTTTGCTGTATAAGAAACACTAATAATGACAGTAAGTCATAAGAAAGTAATTGCACTTTTTGTAACAGACACCCCACATAATTTACATCTATTTAGACAAAAAATTCCCAGCTGACATGAAAACTGACTGAAATCTCAGTTGTCTTTAATTTATCAGTGTCATCGCACTGCTTCTGCCATCATATCTCCTTCTCTCTGGGTGGTGACAAAATGTTGGTGTGTGAGAAATCCAAATTACCCACCCTCCCTGACTGACCCAACCCAATAAGCACATCAGTGAATTACTGGGAGCTTAACAGCCTCAGTGCAACAAGTGCACACCCAGTCTCAGTTACATTCCAATTAACCGTCATTACAAGTATTAGATGTCTAGATTTATCTGCTAGTAGGGCTGCTCGATTATGGCAAAAATGATAATCACGATTATTTTCACTGAAATTGAGATCACGATTATTTGACGATATTTATTTAACCCTTTAAGACCTACTATAGAACCAAGTCCACCAGAGCTTATATTATTTATTTATTTTTTTTTTTACATGCTGTAGTGCCATTTGTGGGAGCATTTCAAGTTGCTATACATCAATATAACTGTTATAGCCCATATTTTACTAATATGTATGCATTAAGTGCATAGTAATTACATAAATTGCAAAAAAGTGCAATAAACTACAAAAAAAATTGAAAATCGCTTTTGTTTTGTTTACATATATTTCTACTTGGAGAAGTTTAAGAGGTTTATCCCTCAAAACTTTAAATACAATAAAGTTGCAAAAAATAGTTTCCCACCACAGGAAATTTATTTTGAGTGTCTTCATAGTTTTATTTTGGAGATACAGCAATTTTTATATACTGCAGGAAAAACAAAAAACAATCCTATGATGCAAATTTGCAAAGAAAACAGCATGTGCATCATTTCACTGTGGGAAGTGTTACGAACAGCTGATAGGAACGGCAAAGCGTGTTTCTGGAATATTATGTTTTTGTTCCTGCAAGCGCTTTTTATGCAATTTTTGCAAAGCTATATGTGGAACGAAACCGTGACCGAGGACAAGCTGATGGCATAAGATGTAAGTACAACTCCTCCGGTTTCATATGCAAAACAAATTATTGCGCTAGCTTACACGGTTCAGGTTCTACAGGGATTTAAAAATAGTTACGCAAAACGGAGCATGCTGCTCTGACCGGCTTTAAAGGGTTAACAATGACTTTAAAAAATAATATAAAATAGTGTGCAACACCACTGAAGTTTTTTTTTTTAAACTCTTTTCAACCAACGGCAGTCACTCTCCTCTCCAAATAACTTCTGCTTAGCTTTCCGAGCTTCCCTCGGGTCCTCTTAATCAGCGGTCTCCAACCTTTTTTGCGCCACGGACCGGTTTATGCCCGACAATATTTTCACGGACCGGCCTTTAAGGTGTCGCGGATAAATGAGGGAGGGGCTAATAATCGGCTCAGTCATTTTTAATGATCGTTGAAAGCCCAGATCGTAATCGTGATTAAAATTCGATTAATTGAGCAGCCCTATCTGCTAGCAGCACTTAGTGATCCAGAAAGGCTTCTGTGGGCGCTAAGGGAGGAATACAACAGCATCCCATCGACATAAACAGAAGCAAACAGGCACAGAGGTTAAGGGGGATTGACTTTGGCATTGGCATCAGTTTATTTTTATAGAGAAACAGGCAGTGGCGGTCCTAGCCTGTTTGGCGCCCTGGGCGAACACTCCCTCTGCCCCCCCCCCCCCCCCCCCCCCCCCCACACACACACACACACACAAAAAATATTAAGGATTGTACATTGATATAAAAATCTTCAATTCAATTCAATTTTATTTAGATATTTACATAGATACAGAGAAAAACCCAACAATCATATGACTCCCTATGAGCAAGCACTTTGGCGACAGTGGGAGGGAAAAACTCCCTTTTAACAGGAAGAAACCTCCGGCAGAACCAGGCTTCAGCAGCGAGCAGGCGCACCGAGGGCTCTCGCGCTCACTTTATAGAATTTCGAAAAAACATCGGTGCATATATAAGTCTGTATCATAATGTCTGGTGTTTTTGTGTTTGTTGGTTTTTTTAATTTTGTTTTATTTTGGAAGTTGGTTATTAGATGCTGCTCCAGCCAGCCAGAGAATCCCCCGCCGCCCCGGCCGCAAGCAGCAGGCGCATCTCGCAAACGGAGGGCGCTCTTACTCCCAGCAAATGGGCGATAGAAAACCGATCGGTGCCTATGCCATTCCCAATATGCGCTGGCATGATGTCGGAGCGGCACGAGTACGAGTAATTTTTTATTTTTATTTTTTTCCCATGCCCGTGATGCCGCCCCCCACCACAGTGCCGCCCCGGGCAACCGCCCGTGTCGCCCGTATCAAAAACCGCTATTGGAAACAGGTAAGAGGCAATAAAGCAGAAGAGTGTTGGATAGACTGTAGTGATTTCTTTGGGTTTAATCAGATATTTATATGTTTACACCATTTTCACTGAAAGCGATTGTTATTTGGTCATGCCAGACTCAGACTGCGTACAAAAATCTCCATACATTTAGCGAGCAAACAAGAGATGACAAGATAACATGTGATGACAAGATCATAAGATAAAACAGAACCTGAGAGAATACTGCCAAATAACACAGCTGGTAAGTTGGAAACGATCCAAAGCCTGAAGGTGTTGCACTCAAGATTACCCCAGAAGTTTAGCTGACCCCTTTTGACTGAGATGTGCCAAAAAAGGTGTCGCTGGATAGCAAAATGGTACAAATAAACAGAGTGAATAGAATAATTTTTGTAGCAACCCCTTTATATAAGTTAACAAGTTAACAATTACTTCTGGAACTGATTTAGGCGAGGCCCTAGCACTGGTTGTGATGGGGATTATGCTCAATATCAGAGTCCCCACACTGAGGCAAAGTCTAATGCCAAGTGGTTTCTTTAAACTGTATCTGTGTAAATAGGGCTAGGCGGGGCTCTTGAGACAAAAGTGTTTTGTGTGCCAATG